AAGGCAGCCATGGCTGTAAAGAGAAACGGATTGAAAGCTGTGCGAGTGTGGTGTGGGGAGTGAGTGGTGGGCGTGCAAGGTACACCACAAGATCCACCAGGGGCCACAAGGTAAGAGCCAAGTACCAAAGAAAATACCTTAGGGGCCACCAGTACCTGTACGTACCTCAACCTTTACCGTACCTCAACCTCAACGTCAACCGAACTGGGGGGAGAGGGGGCTGTTGTGGTGTGTGAGGGTGGATACTTGCAACCTTGATCCTTCACTTGGGAGCTGCCCCTGTGCGCTGCACCGCAGCACAGCAGCCCCTCCCGCTGGACCGTGAGGCGCCTTCACCCCGCAACAGCTGCCCACAGTTAAGGCATGAGGCACCTTGACCTTCCACTCCAGTGGGTTGAGAGCTGCTCATGTGCACCGCAGCACAGCAGCCCCTCCCGCTGGACCGTGAGGCGCCTTCACCCCTCGCCACCCGTCCACAGGTGCTGCCACTGCCACATGGGCGAGCATGGGCGCCAAGGAGGGGCTTCTGGCAGGCAGGAGGGAAGACGCACGAGAGAGAGCAAGCAGAGAGCAAGCAGAGAGAGAGGGAGTCATTAACCAAACTGTCTGTCAGAGCATGCATGTGCGGTGGGGATGCAGTGAGTGAGCATTGCAGGGGATAGTGTGAGATGCGGCATGGTGCAGTGCAGTGCTCGCCACGCCCTCCACAGGAGCCAAGTACCAAACCTTGTACCTTATACCAGACTCAACCTGAGCCAACCGTACCTTACCTGTACCTTCACCAAAGGGGGAGGCTCTGTGGGGAGATGGCTTGCATGCACGAAGCAAGGACGAGATGCTGGCGAATGAGGATGGCGAATGAGGATGGCGAATGACGAACAGGCAGAGAGAGGATAAAGCTGGGGAGACTTATCTGTGTGTGGGGAGAGTGGGCCGCCTCAACAGGCGAATGCGGACTGGTGGTGCTGCAGGTATGGTGCTCCTTTGAAGCGCGTTGGCTGGCGAAGGGCGTTGGTGCCCCCTTGAGAGTTGAGCAAGCAGGCACAGAGGCGTTGCGCAGAGAACCTGGCAGTAGCAAGCAAGGGGAAGACGAGTCAGAGAGTAAATGGCAGACAATCCATGCCAAAAAAAAGGAATGCTGTGGGAATGGAGTGAGGAGTGCGAGGCAACCACAGCAGCACAGGAGCCAGATACCAACGGGAGAATCACCTCACCTCGACCTGTACCAACCTGAACCTCAACCTGAACCAGGTGGGGGGGAACGGCTCGTGTGGAGTGTGGAGGAAGGGAGTGATACTGCAACCTTGAGCGTGCAGGCAGGTGACGCGGCTTGGACGGTGCTGCCCGCCCTGAAGCTCCTCTGGAGAGTGTTGGGGTCGACCGTGGCACTCGCTTGACGAGCCCTGGTGCTCCCTTGTACGGCCTTGTGACTTGAGCCCTGGGCGAGGCGGAGAGAACCTGCCAGGCACATGAGGAGGAGGAGAGGAAAGGAGTGAGTGCAAGGCTCATGGCAAAAACAAAGTGAACTGTGCAAAAGTGGTGTGAAAAGAAAAATGCAGGAGTGCATGTGAGCCCAACACAGCGCCACAAGAGCCACGCAGCAAGAGAAAAACCTGAGGGGGCACCTGAACCTGTCCCGTACCAAACCTGAACCTGAACCTGAACCTTGACCTCAACCAGGGGGGGGCTCTGGTGGACCGTGGAGGGCTGGGGTGATACTTTCAACCTTCCATGAGTTCGAAGGTGCTCCCCTGCTCCACTGCTCCTCTCCTCTGCTCCGCTGCTCGTCTCCTGCTGCAGCGGCCGATGCAGTCAAGTGAGCCTGCCAGAGAAGCGAGGAGAGAGTCAGCGAGTGCAGACCAACAGGCAAGATCCATGTGAGAGAGCAACAAAGGGCTGTGAGAAAAAAGGAAGTGCGCACAGCACAGCACCACAGGAGCCAAAAAAAACACCTCAGGGGCACCTGAACCTGAACCTGAACCTGAACCAGGGGGGGGCTCGTGTGGACCGTGGAGGGCTGGAGTGATACTTGCAACCTTCCATGAGTTCGAAGGTGCTCCTCTGCTCCTCGGCTGCTCTCCTCTTCTGCTCCTCTCCTCTGCTCCTCTGCTCTGCTACTCCTCTGCTCTGCTACTCCTCTGCTCTGCTACTCCTCTGCTCTGCTACTCCTCTGCTCTGCTGCTCCGCTGCTCGTCTCCTCTGCTCCGCTGCTCGTCTCCTGCTGCAGCGGACGTCGCAGTCAAGTGAGCCTGCCAGGGAAGCGAGGAGAGGGTCAGTGAGTGCAGACCAACAGGCAAGATCCATGCAAGAGAGCAACAAAGGGCTGTGAGAGAAAAAAAAAGGTGAGCGCAACACAGCACCACAGGAGCCAAAAAAACACCTGAGGGGGCACCTGAACCTTGACCTTTACCAGGGGGGGGGCTCATGTGGAGTGTGGAGGACGCAGATGATACTTTCAACCTTCCATAAGTTGGAGGCTGCTCCTTTGCTCCTCTGCTCCTCTGCAGCTTGCACCCACGCCGCCAGCCTTGAGAGCAGAAGGGTGTTGGCGTTCCAGCGGTCATTCAAACCTGCCACGGAAGCGAGGAGAGAAGTCAGTGAGTGCATGGCGGCAGGCAACAATCCAACTGAAAGAAGATGCGAATGAAGGACAGATGCACGACCACAGCACCAAGAGCCAGGCTAAAAAAACAAACACCTGAAGGGGCACCTGAACCTTGACCTTCACCAGGGGAGGGGCTCATGTGGAGTGTGGAGGGCGCAGATGATACTTTCAACCTTCCATGAGCTCGACGCTGCTCCTTTGCTCCTCTGCTGCTCTGCAGCTTGCACCCACGCCGCCAGCCTTGTGGGCAGAAGGGCCTTGGCATTCCAGCGGTCATTCAAACCTGCCGGGAAAGCGAGGAGAGAAGTCAGTGAGTGCATGGCGGCAGCACCACCACCACAGCACCACACGAGCCAGGTAAAAAAAAAACACCTGAAGGGGCACCTGAACCTGATTCGAACCTCAACCTCGACCAGGGGGGGTGGCTCATGTGGAGAGTGGCGGCAGAAAATGATACATCAACCTTCACCCTTCATCACTTCCATGAGCCTCAGTCGTCTCATCTGGACGCTGCTCAGTCGTCTGGACGCTGCTCAGTCGTCTGGACGCTGCTCAGTCGTCTGGACGCTGCTCAGTCGTCCGGACGCTGCTCCAGCCTTCCCCCTTGCAATCCGTCGCCTGGCGCTGCGCCTGTGCCGTAGTGCGCGCCCAGCTGCCCATTTCCTATCGCCATGAGCATGCCTGGAGGAGCAGGGAGATGAAAGGGACAGTGAGCCAGAGGGGAGAGGGTATAAGTCAAAGACTGGCAGAAGCAGGAACGTGGCAGTGAGGGTAGAAAATGCACAATAGTCGAACGAGGCTGCAAAAACGTACGAAAACAAAGGAAGAAAGTAGCTTGTTGAAGTTCTTGAAAACGCACCTCAGAACGCATTCAAGATTTGCGGACTCAGAAGGTAGGCGAATGGCGATTTGGCGAACGGCGACGCGGACTGAGAACCTCCCGAGGTCAACAACCACGAATCGCAGAGCGGGACTCAGTCTTGCGTCCGATCTCTTGCAGCCGCTCAGCTTGAATCTCTGCATGTCAAGAAAAAAGCACGTCGTCGTGAGTCCGTTCTGCGCGAATAGGCGGAACAATTGCGGCTACGAAAAATTTACGCCAAAGCGGTCGCACATGAACTCCTGCCGGTCGCACATCTGTGGATAACAATGTCGAAACGCTGGCGCGATTGGCTCGCGAGGTGACGGAGATCACGTCCGGAAAGGAATCAAACGAACCAACCACGACTCAGGACGAACGAGCCATTGGCGTGGTGGCAGCAATAACGAGCCGAATATCGACTGGGGAAAAGCGAGGAGCGTGCAGTGAGCTAGCTAATAATGTTCAGCAAAATTGGTGAATTGATCGTAGAATCGCGAAATGAGGGTGCTGAGAGGCACGAGGCCACGGATTGGGTCAGGGGGGATACGCTGCTGATCCGTGGGGGACTGAATTTGCGACGTCATGTTTGGCTCAACGTTCATGCCGCGTAAATGTCGAACTAAACTAAACATTCGACGGTTCAAAATCGCCTTGCTGGTCCCAGATGTGACAGCGTGGACATCTATCCAACCAATCCGGTCGAGGATAAGATAGTTTTAGCTGCGTGCTAAACCAGTCATTCGGAATCTAATTTTCGCTTTCTGGAAAATATTTTGGGGGGTTCCTAGTTTGCTTACGTGGGCTGTTTCAATGGTTACGGACCCACCCTCCCACGTGACGAAAGCAGCTTCGAAAGCAAAAGTCACGCTGGCTGACGTAGCATGACGTGTAGCACCGCAAACTAGATATCGGGTAGCACGTGGGATCCACTTTCCGCCTTGATAGTGCGGCGATATGATCCAGCTGCCTCCAAACGGTGGGCGGGAAAGTAGTGCTTCGGCGTTTGTGACTGACAGCGGAAGCGGAATTCGAAAACTGGAGGAATCAATGTGGGGCGAAACAGAAGCTGGTTGGGGATTGCCGAAGAAGGGGGTTCGCTAAATTTCGCCTGGCTCGTCGCTTTGTTACTAATGGAGCATGAGACTACAAACCTACATTGAGCACCACTACCAACTAATGAATTCATCTAAACATTTACATTCAGGTGCTTATGCTAGACCATCCAAGTTGACCGAACTCATCATAGGGCTCTAAGTTGGAAGTATTATTATGGAAAGCTTTCACATTATTTAATGGTTGGCAGGAACATCATTTGCCATAACTAAAACGCATCTTATGTGCTTTCATTAGTCCAGTTGATATCATACCCCTGTGGCTGGGCAGTCTAATCTCTCGAACACCTCCGATCGGTCTCCAAATGCCACTGACACGCCATCAAATCAAATGCTGCAATGCGAATGAAACTACACACCGCACGCTACAGCCGCAACCTACAGTGCATGCTACAGCCACATGCTACATCCCAGCCCCAGCCTACAGTGCATGCCCATCAATGTAGCTCTTGAGTGCGCTGCTCCTCCCCGGCTGCCTCAGCTTCAGCAGCGCCTTGCCCTCAATCTGCCTTACCCTCTCCCTCGTCACGCGGAACAGCGACCCCAGCTCCTCCAGGGTCTTCACGCGCCCGTCGTCCAGCCCGTACCGGTGCCACATCACCTCCCTCTCGCGCGGCGTCAGCGTGTGCAGCGCGTTCTCCAGGTCCTTGCGCATGAGCTGCTGCATGATCATGTCCTCGGGGTTCTCCAATGTGTTATCTGCAACGAAGGCCTGCAGGACAGATGGAAATGGGAGCTGGAGAATCAGTCGTCAGCGTGTGCAGGGCGTTCTCCAGGTCCTTGCGCATGAGCTGCTGCATGATCATGTCCTCGGGGTTCTCCAGGGTCGTGTCCGCCACAAACGCCTAGAGGATGGGGGGAAGGCATAAAAGAAACGAATGTGCATTTACTCAGTAACTTCTTGCGCATGAGCTGCTGCATAATCATGGCCTCACGGTTCTCCAGGGTCGTGTCAGCCCTACCTCAGACAAGAGACTCCACCCTGGCCCACTCACCCTCAGAGCCTCACTCCCCACTAAGACGCCACCCACCCCGTGCGTCTCATTCCCATTGTCAGTGGCGATGGGACGGTCCATGTTGCTGCACAGCTTGATGCCCCGCGTGATGCCCACCAGCTGCGCCACCTCCCGCTCTGCCCACGGCCTGCCCCCGCCCCTGCCCCTGCCCCTACCCATACCCACTCGCTCACCACTCACTGACACCCAGCAACTCCCTGCTTTCCCACCCACCGGCTGCCCACCTCTCCGCCCTGCCCCCGCCCATATCCACTCACCCCGAGCGTCTCATCCCCTTCGTCCGAGGCAATAGGGCGGTCCATGGACGTGGGCGCGCGCACAGTCCGCATGATGCTGCGCAGCTTGCCCCGCGTGATGCCCACCAGCTGCGCCACCTCCCGCTCCGCCGGCGCGCGCCCCAGCGCGTCCGTCAGCATGGCCTTGGCGCGGTTGATGCGCGACACCAGCTCGTAGATGTGCGCCTGAGCGGGGGGAGAGGGGAGGAGGGAGAGGGGGGGGGGGTGTGGTGGGGGGGGGAGGAATTGGGAGGGGAGGAGGGCGGCGGTGGGGTGGGTGTGTTGGTGAGAAGGAGGGGCGAGGTGGAGGTTACCCACGGTGGTAACAGACCCGTTCTATACCACCACTAACGCCGTTAAAAAAACGCGCATTCTAAATCACTCACCGGAAGTCGCACGATGCGGCTCTGCTCCGCGACGGAGCGGCTGATGGCCTGGCGGATCCACCAGTGCGCGTACGTGCTGAACTTAAAGCCCTTGCTGTGGTCGAATTTCTCCACGCCCTTCATAAGCCCCATGCACCCCTCCGTTATAAGCTCCTCCAGCGACAAACCGCGCGTCGTGTACTTCTTCGCGACGGAAATAACCAATCGCATGTTCGATGCGATCATGCGCTGCTTGCACTCCTTTCCCCACGCCACGCGCGCCTGCACCTCCGCAACGGACAGCCCCGCTGCTTCCGCCCACTCCGCGCGGGTGGGCGCGCGGAGCAGCTTCTCCTCTAGCTCCTCCCGCGCGCGCTCCAGCTTCAGTAGCGCCTGAACCCCCTTGGAGAGATCGATCTCCTCTTGCACCGACAGCAACCGCGGGTTACCACCTGCTGTGTCGAACATTGTAAAAACCGACTCATTCGCCGCCCGCCTGTACCCCTCTGCCACGACAGCATCTTCCGCTTCCGACTCTTCCTCCCCTCGAGCGAGCGCCGGTCCTTCCGCCGCCGCCTTCTTCCTCGCGGGAGCCGCCAGCGGCGGTGGCGGCGGCGGCGGCGGCGGCGGCGGCGGCTGACGCGGCCTGGCGCTGCTGCAGAGCCTTTTCGCGCTCCGCCAGGCGCTTGCCCTTCTTCTGCGAGCGCACCACCACGCGCTTCGGCTTCCGCTCCGCTTCCCCCTCCCGCTCCGCCTTCCGCTCCGCTTCCCGCGCGCCGTCCTCCAACGCACGCTCTAGCCCGTGATACGTGGCGTCTTCCGCCCACATGACAATCTCCGCTGGATGCACGCCGTCCCCGCTCACATCCCCGTAGCCAACCGCTTGCGCCTCACTGCCCGCCTCCGCCTTCCCTTCTCCTGACGCCCCACCCGCCCGACGCGCCGCCCTCCTCATGGGAATCGGCTTCGCGGTGCGTTTGACGGCGTGCGGCTGGTCGCTAAGACTTGTCCTCAACGATCTACCCTGCGCCGTCCGATCTACCGCGGGTAAGATACGGCCGTCCGGGTGCGGCGGTTCCTGGGGAAGATAGTCATGTGGAAGCCGGGCGAACGGCTGGGTTGAGAACGCTTGGAAGGGGGAAGGTTCGACTGGGGAAGGCTGGACTGGGGAAGGCTGGACTGGGGCAGGTGGTGGGGGAGAGGCAGAGGAAGAGGCGGAAGGTCGGAGTTCCGCGTTCAAACTACCTTTCGCGCCGCCATACGACCCTACATGCGTGACCTTATCGACGGCTAAGAGCCACATATGATGCAGCTGATCGCTGCTCATAATCTCGTCCGCTCCCTCCTCCTCTTCCTCCCCCCAGCCTAACAACGGCGAGCTTAGCGAGCTATCCTGTGGTAACACGTATTCGTCGCCGTCGTCGTCGTCGTAGAGGCCCATCGCTTCCTCCGATAGCGAAAGCTCCGCGGCTTCCTTGGCAACGGCTAGCGCTGCGCGCGCGAGCGCAAGGGCTTCCGCCGCGGATGCGCGCGTAGTCGCCGCGGTGAAGAGGTCGTCCGCCAGCTCAGTGGCGCAGGCGGAAGCGGGGGAGGCGGAAGACGCGGAGAAGCGCAACGAGGAACCGATGGCAGAGCCATTGATGTGACTGAATGCGGTAATGAAAGGATGCGGACCAGATGGGGGAAGAGAAACCGTGGTGTGAAGAAAAGCACGCGGAGATGAATAAGGGGCTGAACGAGGGAATGCACAAGGGAACGCATGCGGTGATGCACAAGGGAATGCATCAGGAGGAACGTGACACTATCACAACGAGCATTTCCCACGCCAGGAAAGGAATTCGCCAAACCGCTTACTGCTGCAATGAACTCGCGAGGCCGGAATGCAGGGTCGTGCGCGGCGACGGCGCGGACACCGACGCGGGATGCGCGGAGCTGGCTGCAAGCGACGGAGCAGCGGAGTTGGCGGAGGCTGCCGGAGCCTCCGCGACTGGCGATGCTCGCCGGAAAGGGGTTGCTGACGTGGATGAGCTCAAACACGGGCTTGACCCTGTACAAACGACGGGGTAGAAACGCCGGGAGAGTGTATAGACATAGGGAGAGTGCGTGGTCAAATATCTAGGGATTTGAATCATAACGGTGAGAACCGACGTGCGTAGATGGATAGCGTTATTATAGATGAGAAAAGCTCCTGCTTCAGCTGAAGTTGCTAAACCCTGCACTCTCCAATACCTGGTCTGTCAACAGTCACGCGTTCCAAAAGGAACTTGCGCTGGAAAGCAGTAGCGGAGACGGCCATTCGGCAGAATCCAGGTCCGGCAAGTCTGGACGCTGAGCTCCTAGCCTGAGGAGTTGAAACCACGGAACGGGACGGTGCTGGAACTGACAATGGAAAAACCCTGCTTGATGCTAGTAACTCCAGCAGAGCTCAAGGGAAGGTAGTAAAAGGGAGAGCTGCTGGAGCTACTTGCAAAAGGGAACGGCCTAACAGAATGAGGGATTTTATAGTCCCCTGGGAATTCCTGACAAGCGGCACTAAAACGAGGGTGGACATTTGCTTCTGCTGGAAACACACATCACGGGTGTTTCGTCACCGAAAGTTTTGTGACTGTAGGCCGATACAACGAAAGTCAGCTTGTCGCACAGAGGGTTCGCCAAGTTCGTTCCTTCTGCACAGTGACCAAATTAGAAGGCTCCCAATCACATTATGTTGTTGTTATCGTGGCACGCACGCATTCGTCAACGACGCGGAGCGTCGATGCATCCTTGCCGTTCGAGAAAGATCCAACGGCAATCAGTTTGACATTGCCTCCACGTCGATATCCCCCAGATTGGTCCACGACTTGCCCTATCCGAACGCACTTCCGTTTCGTCGCGCTGGAAATGCACGGATTGACGTGGCGCTAATCCTCCCCAACAAGCGTGGCGATAAAAGCAGACACCTCGGGTTGGAGAACAAGCTGGCATTGTTCTCAATCATGTCGTTGTAGTACACCCTTGCTTATCTACATATGGGAAAAAGTGTTGACCAAGATTATTTCCTGAAAGCTACGCATCCTCTGCCATGCATTCACACACCTCCCACACGTATTGACAAATGTGGTAGTAGACCGCTCGCATTACATATGATAGAAGCCTTTAAACGGCCAGTTGTACATTAAGTGAGCCTCTAGAAAGGACTCCACAGGGCTGCACACATTCTGACTAGTTCAATAGTTCGTAATATTATAATTTTTAAACACATTGATGTTTTTCAAAATTGTGTATTGTGAAAGCGAAGCTGCCTGTACCGAATATTTGGCAGCGTCGAAGCGCGCTAAACGCCCTTCTCCAACTACAAAAACCGTGGGTTGGAGTTCATTCCCTCCACCCACGTTTCTCGTTTTCCAACGGCTCAATCAACATCTACGTTCGAGTAGTTCTTTTCCCCGTCCAAGCTGGCTAGAACTCGCACCCTCCCCAGAGGCGAGTCACCCTCAACACTTCTGCAAGACATTTTCAACCACAACCGCTCTACAATGGCGTCTACGCCGGCACTTAACCGCGGCAATTCGTCTGCGCCGAGTTCCGACACCGACCGTAACGCCCGAGAAATGACGGGCGATCGCCGTAACAAGCGCCGGGCAGAGGAAGGATCGCCCGCCCAACTGCCGTGGACGTGCTGTTGGGCGGGCTCGAGGTCAACAAAAACTCGAGCCCGCCCCAGCAGCAGCACCCCTCGGCCCCTGTGGCGCCTGTGGCGCCTGAGGCGCGTGTGGCGCAAGTGGCGACGGCGGCACCTGCAGCACCTGTGGCGCCACACGCGCATGACGTGGAGCACACGCCGGCGCCTGTGGCTGGACCGTCGCGTCAGCGCCAGAGGCGCCGAACAGCGACTTCTTCTGACGCGACGACCCCGGCGTTGACCACAGCGTTGACTCCGGACCAGGTCGCCGCGCTTCTGTCCCTGTTACAGCAACAGCCCGCCAGCGTTACAGCTACGGAAATTGCACAACCCGCGGCCTCTGCATCTGCTAAAAAGGAAAACGCAAAAAGAGAAAAAGGAGCGCGAGGAACAACGGCGAACCGGCACGACAAGGAAGCACCGGCCAGCATCCCACCTGCGCCAGTGGCCGACAACGACACCGACGGCTCCGACGACGATGATGGTGAGGCTCCGGTCCATACCAAAAATTTTAATTCCATGGAGCATCTTCCCCCCCTCCCCTCTACTACTAACACCACTTGGTCGGCGGCGACGTTCAACGACGCGCACGTGCGGGCGAAAGCGGAAATTCTGGAGGACATGCGGGCCTACCTGAAACACGCAGAATACAAGCTGCAGCACGGCGACTTGGCGGGCGGACTCGAAATGGTCGTCGCCGCCCTCGACGACATTTCCGCGCGCTTCGAAATGTTTCAAGTCGAAGACGCCTCCGACGACCGCGTTGCCAAGCGCTACAAAATGTACCTGCAGAAAAGCCTTCTCACTTCACGCCCGTTCAAGCAAGCCGTCGCGGACGTGGCTGCCATGGACCGAGCGGCGGGCGCTCACGCTCGCTCCCACCGCGGTGGAACCCACGGCCCCATGGCGTTCGCCCCAAAACGTGGTCCTCCAACCTCGGGCAATTTCCAAGGCTTTCGTGGTTCGTGTTTCCGCTGCGGCCAGCCAGGCCACGTTGCCAATGCCTGCCCTCGGAATGGGCACGGGGGCCAAGGACCCGCACCGGTTGTGTAGGGTTCGGGCTATGGCGAAGTGCGCCACTCGGCGCGATGCACGGTGCACTCTTGAGTGCTTAGACCGTGGGCAGCCTAGTAGGGCTTGCGGTGGCCATGGGCCAGCCCTAGGATAGGGTGGTAGAATTTGGCCATAGGCCTAGCTTTGGGGAAGAGGAAGAATGCCTCTCGGTCCCCTAGGATAGGGTAATAAAGTATGGCCGTAGGCCTAGCTTTGGGGAAGAGGAAGAATGCCTCTCGGTCCCCCGTATGCCCCAATTGATGGGATGAGAAGCATGCTAGTAGGCATGACAATGTATGACCATGCGAGATATGGATTTCATTAAAGGCACCCCTCTGGTTGTGAAGGATCACAAAAAAAAAAAAAAAAAAAAAAAAAGGGGAACGCGAGGAGGAGAAGGGGGAGGGAGAAAACGGGAGTACGCACGTTCCTCACTCTAACCGCCACCATGCATGGCAGGGATGGGCAGCCCTGGTTCAATCTTTGAAAGACCAGAAAGGGAGAGAAGGAGCAAAAAAAAAAAAAAAAAAAAGGGCGAGAAGGGGGGGCATAGCAATGTCGCCTCGGCCAAGTGAGGGCACGCGCGGAAAGACACGAGCCCATGGCAAGCGAAGCATGCAAATGCTCAAACAATGATGGAAACACGCACAAAAAGAGAGGGAGAGAGAGAGAGCGAGAGAGAGAGAGAGAGAGAGAGAGAGAGAGAGAGAGAGAGAGAGAGAGAGAGAGAGAGAGAGAGAGAGAGAGAGAGAGAGAGATCAAGAGTGAAGCATGATCATGGGTCCAAGCATCAATCTTAGAGCAAGGCCAAAAAAAAAAAAAAGGAGTCTGGGAAAGAGTTTGCCAAGGTGCGATCGGACGCCCAATATGGAATGATGACAACCCGTCCGTATGGTTCTCACTGCTGACGGTTCATCTTTCGCGCATGCATGTATATGTCACACGCATTCACTAATTAAGGCGTGTAACTTGATTGGTCCCGTTCATTTCCTTGCCATACATACAGGAGCACAACATCACGAGGTGCCTCGCGACGAAGACCCGTACGAATTCGCCGTCACGGACAAAACCGTCACACGGATGTGCGGTCGGCTTCGCTCGACCTTTGCGTGGTGGAGCTCATGGTGCCCTTGCAGCCTTGTTCTATCCATAATCGCCAACGGTTACTGGCTTCCATGGAGCCACGGCCCACCACCGGCCTTCCGGGAGCGGAACCACGCCGGTGCATACGCGCATGCTACGTTCACACGTACTGCCATCCAAGAACTCACAGAGAGAAAAATGTAGCTGCAGTCGAGACAGCCGCAAGCGAGCTTACGTGCATAAGCCCACTTAACGTGGTCGAGCAGAGAGAAAAATGTAGGCTCATCCTTGACCTGAGAAAAGTCAACGCAAACCTCATCGTTCCAAAATTCAAGTACGAAGGACTCAGCCGCGTGGCAGACGTGGCACGCGCGCGGGATTGGATGTTTTCTATCGATCTCAAATCCGGGTACCATCACATCGACATCCATCCCTCGTGCTGGAAGTTTCTCGGTTTCGGATTCGATGGGCGCACTTACTCCTTTCGTTCATTGCCGTTCGGTCTTGCGACAGCCCCATTCGTTTTCACGCAACTCATCAAGCAAATGGCCCGTCGCTGGCGAGAGCAAGGCATTCGAGTAGTACCATACGTGGACGACATCTTATTCCTTTGCCAGTCAAAAGCCCACGCGCAGGCCACGTGCCACCGTGTGATACTGGACCTTAAAGCAGCGGGTTTGGTGATAAACGCGAAGAAATCACAACTGTCACCATCGCAACACCTTCGATTCTTGGGTGTGGAGCTAGACACGGTCACCGGCCGATTTACCATCGGTCCCGAACGACGAGCCTCACTTCATGCAACCATTCGGAACCTGTTGAGCGCAAGCAAGGCCTGTCGACCCGTCTCAGTTCGCCAAGTGGCCAGAATCACAGGCATGCTCGCGTCAATGGGCGTCGCGCTGGGTGCAACAGCTCGTGCCTTCAGCCACGCCATGCTACAAGTGATCAATGACGCACCTTCATGGAAAAGCAGCGTGATCATCCCCCCACCTGCGGCTGAGGAGCTAAACTTCTGGCTCGAAGAGTTTGATCGGTTCAACGGTGCGCCGTTTCACGTTCGAAACAGCTACGATGCTGTAATCCATGTGGACGCTAGCGCTCACAGTTGGGGCGCCACTTTGACCACCTTCCCTGGCGGCCTCGAAGAAGCCAGCGCAACAATGCCAGAGCCGCTGCGAGCGACGTCCAGCACACGGAGGGAGATCGAAGGAGTGCTTTGGGCACTCCAAACATACTCCAGCAAGATCAGACACAAACATGTTCTTGTGCGGGTGGACAATCAGGGCGTCTTCTTCATCCTTCGCAAAGGTGGCTCGCGCAGCCCCGACCTTACCACGGCCTGCCAAGCCATCATTCGGATATGCATGGAGCACGGCACGCGTCTAATCATCGAATGGATCCCACGCGAGCTAAACTCACACGCTGATGAGCTCTCAAAAGCAGTCGATCATGACGACTACTCGTTGAAGACGCCGTGGTTCCGCATCTTAGAACGACGTTGGGGTCCCCATTCCATCGACCTCTTTGCAAATCCCCGCAACTCTCAGCTGCCACGCTTCTGCACGAAAATTCCTCACCCACTAGCCACCGCAGTAGACGCATTTTCGCTCGCCTGGACAGCAGAAAATAGCTTTGCTTTCCCCCCGCCCCACTTAGTACCGGCCGTCCTCCATCACGCACAACGCACCCATGCATCGCTCACACTGATCATCCCACACTGGCCGGGTGCAAACTGGTGGCCACTCATACAACCTTCCCCACGAAACTGGGCACCGTACATCCACGCGCACATTCCCTTGACACACGGCAGCCAGTGCCTGGCAGCGGGAACACATTCCACTGCTTTTTCAGGCACCGGGTTACCATACAGCCCAATGATCGCACTTCGGGTGGTATTCGACTAATTGAGAGCGTACGTGCCTTGTGTCCAGAT